GCCATAAAAAAGATAAGTTCAAGGCTTTTATAGGTAAACGGATGCAACTAGAGACTGTACTGGTGAGCGAAATAAAACAGACCTTCATGGGCAAACATCATGTTGCCCTGCTAGTGTGAAAACTTCAAAGAGTACACAAAATCTGAAAGATGCAGGAGATACTCTGGGGAGATAGGTTGGTAGTCTAAGTGCCTGCTGGCAAGCACAGGGTGCTGAGTTTGATCCCTGGTACTGCATGCTGTGCCAGCTTCAGAACCCTGCATGTACCCTGCTGGCCCCAGAACTGGGCATGGTGGTGCACTCCTGTAATCCCAGCACTGGGGAGGCTCAGACAGGAGGATCACTACCAGTCTGAGTTGCATAGTGAAACCCTATATCAGATAAATAAAAAATAGATACTATGAAAGGGAAAGAATCTGTTCCATGGGAAGAAAAAACTGGGACAAGGAAAAGGACAAAAGAAAGAAGGGAAAAGGATACATTCATGTCTATATGCAGGGTAGCTTGGATAATTATACTAGTGATTTCTACTGGTCTGCTGCAAGGAGCACTTAATGCTTAAATTTTTTTTTAATTTTAATTTTTTAATTTTTTTCATCTTTTAAATTTCTTATAACTTTAAAGCAATTTTGCAGGTTTATATCTGGTAAGCTAAACAACTAATATGAAGACATCATGCAATATGAACACCACTGTCAAATTCTTATTACTTTGTTTAATGAAATCTTGTATTGTTTATTTATTTTTTATTTTTTTATTTTTTGCGGAACCGGGGATTGAACTCAGGCCCTTGCACTTGCCAGGGAAGCGCTTATTCCACTGAGCCATCTCCCTGGCCCCCTCTTGTATTGTTTCTAATGTTTCGTTTTACCATTTTGTATTCTAAAAAATAAATAAATAAATAAATAAATAAATAAAATAAATATATATATATATATATATATATATATATATATATCAGGAGAGCCTTGACCAATCCATTGGATTCTCATTACTTAGCACACCAGACCTGGAAGAACTCTAAATTTCTCCTCTCTCCCTAGTTCTTGGGCCGGGGAGATGGCTCAGTGGAATAAGCACTTCCCTGGCAAGCACAAGGGCCTGAGTGCAATCCCCAGTTCTGACAAAAAAAAAAAAAAAAAAAAATCTCCCTAGTTCTTGGCTATCTGAATTTGAAGATCACCCTAGATGCCTGGCTTGGCCTGCGGGGGAGTGGGAGTGGGGGTAGTGGTGGGGGTAAGGGGGATGAGAGCAGCCTTGCTTTGCCACCGAAGCCCTCCAGGTGGCCCTCATGGGCAACAGCTAAAGCCCACCACTGGGACAAGCAGAAAACAAGGTTCTCATTCTTTTAGCATGGGTGGAAGCTGCAGGCTCCTCACTGAGCCCAGAGCCCCAGCCTCAGGGAGGAGGTCAGCAGTCAGCAGTAGGGGTGGGGCTGTTACCCCTCAAGGTCTCAGGTGAGCAGGAGGTGACTGGTGACCACACAGCAGCCACAGCCACTGTCACTCAACTCTGACCTCTCCCACATCAGGCACGTGGGGCATGGGGAGGATAAGCCAGCCAACACTGTGCTGGCTCCGCATCTGCAAGCTGGCTGAAGCGGTGCAGAAGGAAGGAGGCTCTCAAAACATCCAATGCTCCTGGACTTAGCACCTGGGCAGGGCCTGAGCCTGGTGCCTGCCTGCCCAGAAGGCACAGTGAGCAGAGCAGGCTGCCAATGCCAGGAAAGGGATGGAGATCAAAGAGAAGTGGCCCCAGGGCTCCCGGATTCCTGCTCTGCCCAGGCCTGTTTGCTCAGCTTTTCTCCATGTCCTGGGAGACCTCGCCAGAGCCACAGGCAAAGCCCATCTGCTAGAACTTTCCTTGTGGCTCCAAAGGCAACTTAGAGAAGCCTCACTCCAAACAGAGCCACACCTCTTTTCTCTTTGTACATTTTGGGGTCCCAGTCAGGTTGGCTTGCGGAGGAGGAGGCAGAAACAATTCTACCATTAAAACATAGCATGGGAATGGTGGGCTAGCTGGATACCATTTCGCTGAAGGGACAGTCACACAGAGAAGGTAAGTGTGGCGGGCTTCTACAGCCTGTATCTCTGTAGGAGACCACAAGGCTGGAGGAAGAGCCACCACACACATCCCCTCCAACCCCTAACCTCTGCCCTGTTTGCAGGGATGGCCCGCAGAGGCAGCTGTGACATAGGCCATCTGGATCCTGATGCCAGAGAGCTTGACAGCTCCTTGGAAAGTCCCTGCTTGTCTGAGTACCAAACAGATGCACTTCAAGGAAATGCAGGGAGCCTGCAGACCCCAAGTCAGTCCTACAAAAGGCTGCCCAGACCCCAGGGATCTCTGTGCACAGAGACGGCCAAGGCTCCTTTGGCACCAGCCTGATCTCCACCTGTACCTCTGCTCAGAAACCTAGAGCCTGGCTGCCCACAAAAGGGCCCTGAGCTGGGCGTCTGCTCAGGAGCTGTAAGTCGACATTTCTTCCCACGTCTAGTTGCCACTTCCTGTCTTTCCCTAGCCTAATTTCCTCCATCCAAGCCCTACTCCCACCTAGCAAGCTCCACACAAATCATCCTTCTACCTTTCTCTGAGCACCTAAACCTGCAGCTCTGGTCTGAGACCACAAAGTGTATTCTAGCTCTGAAAGGAAAGAAGAGGCATGGCAAATGGAGGGACTTTCCCTGCCAATGGCCAGGACCTTATCCACTTAGCTAGTCAGTTCTCCTTATATACAACTCCTGTTAAGGCCACCAGGTAGGCACCACGGCCACCATAATGGTAAAGGAAATAAGACAGAGACAAGAGGGTCTAGACCCATCCCCGCTGCTGTCTTATTTTGAATAAGGAGGAGCCATAGTTGAAGGTGAGCATAGGCCTGTGGTGGGGATGCTAGCTGCCCAGGAAGCACCTCCCTCCTTGCCCCACAGAAAGGCTCAGGGCCCAGGGGTGTAAATATCCCAGCACTTCCTGGGCTCACTGCCCCCTAGGTCTGAGCTCTCCAGCTGCCACAGAACAAATCTCCTGGCCCTAGATTCTCTCTTCCCCAGCAGCAGGTCAGATCCCAGCGGGTGAGCACCATGTCTCATTTTCCTACCTGCCGTGCCTTCTCACCACTCTCCCAGGGCTCCTGTAGCCAGGCCCTCCACCCGCATCCCATCATCGAACCTGCGGCCTTACCTCCCATGAGGAAGAGAAGCCCCGCCACATACTGCATAAGGCCTCGGTCCCAGCAGCAGCCCAGCACACCGATGATCCAGCCGAAGAGGATGATGGCCACTGCCATGCCCATGAAGCCGGCCGTCATTCTGCGCAGGTCTGTGGGGAAGCAGGCGGCAGTGGTGAGCATCAGAGGCCGAGACTCAGGACCCACGCACCCTAGCCCTGGGGTTGGATGGCAAACACTCTTCTTCAGACAGGCTCCTGCTGCCAAGCATCCTGGGCAGAAGAGAGACACCCCCATGGCCACTCTGTCCTCCTGTGCATGGCATGCCAGGTCAGAAGGGTTTGCTTAGGGAGAGCTCACCACAGTGCACCGGTGCACCTCACCTGCGCCAGCAAGTGCCAGCCTCCCCATGCATCCATGTCATCCCTGGAGGATAGGAGCTGTTTTTATTCCTCCCTGCTAAATGGAGCAACTTGCTAGAAGCCACAGGGCTAGTAAGCAGTAGAACAGGAACCCAGGCTGGCCCGGCCAGCCCCAGCAGTAGCCAGACTCTCAGGGTGGAGAGAGCCAGGGAAGCAGGCTGGTGTGGCGGGCTTTCGTCAAAGTCAGTTGTGAGGGAAGGGCTGGCTGGGGCTTTCTGTACTGCCCTGCTCAGGACCCATCAGACAGAGCTTGCAGTGGCTTCAAGATGAAGGGGGCTGCCCAGAAGGGCAGATGAGAGGGGGCAGAGCTGCCGCCTGGGCTGGCGGCCACTCAGTGTCTTACTCAGCCCACTTCTTCGTGGTTCCTGCAGTTCTGCGTCGGGAGGAGGCTGGCGGAGCTGCTCACACTCCTTTCCTAGCCTGGATCACCTGCAAGTTCTCCTTTCCTTTCCTCCCACGCCCTGCCCCCATCACACTGGCCACGCCCTCCACCCGTCCCCAAGCCCAGGCACCAGCATCAGCCCCAGCCCACTGGACAACCCCAGGGGCATCTCTTCTTTCCACACAGGGTGATGAGTGAGGTGGAAAGGAAGGTGTCACCACCCCACGTGAGCCCACGGGGTGCTGCCCCACAAGCACAGTTTCATCTCATTCCAGAGAATGAATGCCTGGGCTTTCTACGGGGAACACCTGTGGGTCTGCGTGCCTCGTGGACAAGTGGGCCGGGCCCTCTGTTCCTCTCTCACTGCAGCGTCCCTACTGGAGACCAGGCAGAGCCAACTGAAGGACCTCTCCACAGTGTGGCTGCAGCCCTTCTGTCCAGATATCTGGTTTCTTTGTACTTAGTTGGACCATCAGACAGTCAATACAGGGAGAAACCTGGCTGGGCAGGGGAGGGGCGGCACAGAGGAAGGACAGTGGCTGACCTTCCCCGCTGATGAGGCAGCAGAGCCAGTCACAGAGGTAGCAATGCTCGGGGAGCTGGAGATCTGCCCCACAGGTCTCTGTCCTGCCCAGCTTGCCCAGCAACGCCGCCCAGGCCAGGTAGAAGCAAGGCTCCTCATAATTACTTCTGCAAACAGCCTGGGATGCCTAATTACCACACAGCTCTGTGCTGATTGCCCATGTCACCAAATGAGTCAGGAGAGGCGCTGTCAAAAGCATCGTCTAATCCCAATACTAATGCCCCAGCCAAGCTTCCTAAGCAGCAGCCACAGCCAGCTTGCAGTGAGGAGAAGGAAAGAAGGGGCCACTCCTGCCCATAGGCCAGTCCTACTCTTATTGAACCACCCATGGCTGGTGTGTCCCTCTCTTTTCCCCATATACTCTCATTGCAAGCAGTCCTGCCCTGAGTCTCCTTCTTGTCCACCACAAGAGACCTTGAGTGAACAGGACCGGAGCTGCTGCCAGGAGAAGGTCCCAGAGGACCCGTGAGCCTATTTGGGTGGATTCCTGGAAATGGGATACTCTTTGCATTCCATGCTTTTCTCCCCACCATCTTGAAGGGGAAGTAGGAGCTCGGAAGGCAAGAAAAGCAGAGGAGTTTCCCTTTGGGAGGTTCACATGCTCGACTGCAGGAGGCGCCAGGAGGCTGCCACAGGCATATCCCTTCTGGCCCTCCCCTTCTTGGGGCAGGAGGGTTTCCAGTGGGGCTGAGGGAGTCCTGCCTGCCCCACCCACAGCAGGAGCTGAGACACATGAGCGCCTCTGTTGAACTGGGACTTGCACCTGGTCTTGTGCACTGAGGGACCCCCAACTCCCAGCACAGGAGCAAAGGTGCGGTCTATGGACTCACATGAACAATGGGTCACTTTGGGTGAGTCCACCTTGGCCACAGATGGATGGAAAAGTAAGGTAGGCAAGAAACCAAAGCAGAAAAGAAAGGAGGGCGACTATTGTCAGAAGACGCAAGCAAAGTGTTTTGCTTAGAAGACAGCACAAGTGCACACGCATACACACGTAGAAAGGCAGGTAAGTGGGGAGAACTCTTCCTCTTCCAAGTGTTCCAGGCAGACACTTGTCACCTGGGGCACCGCTCAGAACCCTTGAGATCAGCGCCTCTGCCCTGTTTCCCAAAGGGCTTGGCAAAGAGAAGAGGGGCTGAGCTAGGTCACTGGCCTGGGAGTGGGGATGGAAGCCGGGGTCCTGCCTGTGAGTTGTCCCTGACCTGGGAGGAGGCTGCCAAGGCCCTGGGGGTCTGACTTTGCTGGAGCTGTGCATGACACGCTGGCTCGTGTGTCCTTACACGGCAGCTCAGGTGTGGTCATAAGGCATGTGGGATAGGGATACTCCTATTTTACAGATGAAGCAAGCAAGATCCAAAGATGGTACGTTACACTGACAGTCTCCAAACCAGTGAACTAGAGGAGTAGTTAACAACAGTGTTATGGAGTTGTATGAGAAAATAAATAACGGAATTAAAGAGCTATTAGGTTATGATGCCAGATTGAACCAATGTATCTAGTATTTCTTCCTTCCAACAAGCCAGAGCTGTAGTTTAAATTTGGCTATTATTTTTTAATAAAAGACAGAAATACACAAGGATGGGGAAAAGGGAAAAGCAGTGATAACAAGAGCGAGAAGACTGGGAGCCATGGCGCTGACAGACAGCAAGACAGACAGTGCCAGAACCAGCCCAGAGGCCGCACCAGGGGCCCCAAGACCCACTTGCACAATTATGCATGAAGGGACAGAGGGCAAACAAGGCTCTGGAGCAAGGAGCCCCAGAAAGTGCTAGATTCCTAGTCCCTTCCCACTCCATGACATTGAGGGACATCCTTGGCCCCCACCCAAGGAACACAAGACACAGTGCTCAAGAAGGGGCTGATGGGTTGAGGGCCAGCCAGCACCCTAAGAGTTAGGGTGCCACACACTGACAGGGTGACCGCTGTTCAGCCTCCCCAGGGAGACCCCAGCCCTCCTCTCCTCAGGTGCCATGAGCTGGATGCCAGGCCTTTGCCCCCAGCCTAGATAGAGGGAGGAGGCTTTCTCTCTCTGTGACTAGTCCCTTGGGCCACTCTCCAATGAAGCCCTAAGGTGACATGGGTCCCCTCACTGACTCAGCATCCCCAGCTAGCTAGCTCTTTAGCACTCCACTTTTACACAGAAGCAGATGAGCAATCTCCACACAGCTGAGAAAGGCCCATCCCGAGGTGGGGGCAGGGGTGGGGACAACATGGGGATGTGAACTTCAGGGAGAGGAGAAACATAATCCAAAGTGATTACCATCCCCAGAGAGATAAGGACAGGAAGATAGTGCCTTTATGAAGTAGAAACAAAGTCTTATTAAAAAAGGACTAGCTGCAGGAACAGAAGCAATACCCTGAAATCACAGAATCAAAACTATGAGATTTTTATTATAAATTCAACTCTAATTTCTGTATGAGTGGTCCTCACCACATTCCAAAAGGACCTAAGGTGGCTTATAGGACCCACACAGCAGACCAACATAAGGTCATGATGTGAAGGAGAGAAACAAAAGGAAGATGATGCCAGATACCACCTTCATGCTGAAAACTTGGCCTACAAGGCCCAAGGAAGGCCATGCCCCCGCACGTGAACACCAAGCCATTGCATTATATTATCTCCGTTGTTTTAAATTTCTACTTTCTTCTGTTCTCACCTTAGTCCCAACGACTGCTCTGCCTGTGGTATGGCCACGTGCAGATGGCACTGCCCTCTGCCAGCTGCCTGGACCTGTTGGTTTCTCACTTCAGGACTAAGAGGCTCTGTCCAATTCTTCCAGATCTCCCATGGTGCCCACAGCAGTATTTTGTACTCAGGAATTTACACAGCTTCTCTTTCTTCCCCCATCTCTTTCTTCCTCCTTAGATGGCATGAAGAAAGAAGGGAAGGGAGGGAGAGAAGGAAAGGAAAGTGGAAAGGGAAGGAAAGGAAAGGGAAGGGAAGGAAAAGGAGCAGAAAAGGAAAAAGGAAAGAAATGGAAAAGAGGAAGGGGAAGGAAAATAGGAGGAAAGGGGAAGCCAAGAAACCCTCACTCCCCTGAGACCCTAGACAACTACCATACTGAGCTATTCTAAGGATAGTCCTCCTGGAAAGAGCCCTGAGTGCTAACTGTGACTCTACAGTCACAGACCAAGATAAAACAACAACAACAACAAAAATCATCTCATGATTTCCGTTGGGTTTGAGTCCATTTTCTGCACTGCGTGACCCTAACGTTTAACATTCTAATTTCTGAAATGAGAAAGGCGCGTTCTAAATCTTTGGGATTTAGCTCAGTGTGGCGGAAAGGAGCAGGCAGAGGGAGGTGGGTAATGAGGCAAGTTGGAGGAGGCAAGAAGAACCATTCAATAGAGGCAGAAAAAGCAGTTCCCCCTCATGGAAAAATTTTGATTTCGAAGTTTACACTCCTATTAACATTTAAATTGAAAGGTATTGCTTGCAACTCTACATGGGAAGCCAGGGTATCTGCATTTAAATAAACACCACGTACAGAAGGAAAATATATATTGGGCTCTGAATGCTTTCTATTTGCTCTTTAAAGACCTTGCACGGAAAAGTGATGATGATTGGAATATTTTTATTCTTTTTAAAAAGCAGGAACAGCGATGGTAGGCATGCTCAGACCTTGCCTGGAAGGTAAAGACTGGATCTAGAGAGGGGAGCGTGGTGTCTCAATGGCTCCAAAAGTCAGAGCTTTGGGTGCTGCTCTGCACATGGGAGCACCTGGGCCATGTCCCCTGCTGGCCCCTGGGCTGTTCCAGTGA